GAAGGACAGATATAAAATCAATGGTAGATTAATGTAACAGAAAGCTCGTTTATTTGTTAAGAAAATTATGACAATGTTAAATAAAATGCTAAATAAAACAACCTAACCTATAAGAACCTAACATAACCTATAAAATCTTGACAAGCTGAAATAGCTAACAAGTTGTTTCTCTTTCCTGGTTGGCTGTCATTTTTCGAGTTTGATAAGAATTTCAATTAGAATTGATTACTGAATTTTATTACGTCTGAAATGACCGTATCACATATTTTTTAGAAGCCAGTTAATGTACAGCGTAATGGAAGTTCTGGTAAACGGTATCTTACGAACTGTTACTTTTTACATTTTATAAAGTGATAAATTTCAACATTTTACATATCGTCGATTTGCTAGAGGAGTGACATATCAGAAAAATCGTTAATGTTGAGATATCTACAAAAAATAACTCTAAAAGTGAGCTATTTTTATGTGAAAGAGGGTCAATAAAATTATACTATTCAACGAGAGCAATGTCAGAATTTAAAATAATTCTGTTTCAACCTTTTTTTTTTAACAGAAGACTATTAACTAAATTGTAAAAGAAAAAAACATTTGTGTAATTAATAACTTTCTACCGGAAAAAATTTCAAAGCAATTTTCTGAAAAGCTCACTTTTGTCAGTTGAGCCACTTTTCTAGAAAATCGACGATATTATTTTTTTGAATTTTACAAATTTTAATATTTTCCACTAAAAATGTTGCATATTTGTATCATTGCAGATTCAGCAGAAACTGTGTAGTAGACAAAGACAAGAGGAATCAGTGCAGGTACTGCAGATTAAGAAAATGTTTCAAAGCTGGCATGAAGAAGGAAGGTAAGCAGAGAAATTCTATAATTTTCATTCTAATTTTCTATTGCATACAATTTGTTTGGTCTCAATTTTTTGAAAGCAGTATTTCATACAATGCTTGAAAGTTTGCTTCCTGTATTTCATGTAACAACGTTAAAAGCTAGAATATTGAGAACATCAAGAATATTTTTACTTTTATTTTATCTTTGTACCATATAATTTTGGACACTCTGTATATTTACATATTTTTCAAAATCGTGTTCAAAATTATTCTCATATGAAGTAACCTTCAAGAATTTTATCATTGCAATTTGGTATTAATTTCAAAAATAAATCCACCTAAATTTTGGAGAATTAGGAACTTCCTTCTTTTTCTTCTTCAAAGTAATACCAGTTAATTTTCACGAAACATTCTTCTCCTGTTATTCAATCAAACGAGACATTCTACACGTGTCCTATATCGTTTCAGAAACGATTTATAAAAGTGACCGGACATTTTATGTCCTTTTTAGCGAACTGCAGGTTCACCTTGAGTCATTAATTGACAATCCATAGTTTCCACCTCTGCGGAATAATAACTCGATCGTACACGGGAACGTGTATCTACCGCGAAAGAACTAGATTCTTTGTTTATGCAGTGGCTTTTTCGTGATTAAATTTGATTAAATTTCATCGAGGGAATACACACATACCTTACTTGATCCTATTACCTTCTTTGAGAAAAGGAAGGAAAAAGGGAACGCATAAGGTATTTATTTCTGTGTCACGTTAGATACGAATAAGCAACGAGATAATAATTAAAATTTAATAGATATTTCATCATTTTTCATTGGTAAAGAAAAATATAATCTTTACTATTAAAATCTATAATAGTAAATCTATAAAACGAGTTATACTACTCGTAATCTGTTTTTATGCTCGCCGTATACAAACAGTATTGTAACCGGGTTGGCTACGGGGGGTTGCGGGCTGACCGAAAATAATTTCCACTAGCATACACTTTCGGAGAGTTATATTTAATTAGTTCTTACCCTAACGCGAGTATAAGAATCGTACGCGGAAACGTCTTGACATGGTGTTCAGGGAACGGAAAACATATGAACAAAGGGTTGCCTCGTAGTCCGTGTATATCCACTCAAGGGAGCGTCTTTGAAGCAGTGAACCGTGTTGTCCATAAAAACTATGGGTCAGTCCTGTTTTTATCCTTGCGGGGAAGCCCGGACCAGCGCGAGTGGTGGAGTGGGGGAGTCAACTGCGCAGGCGCACAAGGGTGGGATTGGTAGCGATGATGCTAGCGAGGCAAGGGGATGAGGGCGCCAATCTGGTGGCTGCTCGGTGAACTACCTCCCTTACGCGTGCGCTACAGTATAATAAATGTGAATTATCGGTGTCATAAATTGTGCGTATAGGCTGTCGAATGAAATATACAGGCTATCGTATATGAAACTGCGTAACTGAAGGAATAACAAAAGACGAAAGTGTACTATCAATGATTCAAAGAAAATATACCAGCAACGAACAAGTGTAATTATAAGAATGAATCAAATACAGTCTATCGTACAAAAGAGCGTATTTTCCCACAATATTCTCGCTAAAGTGATATACCTACAAAAGTGTTCTAACGTGCCGCATGATTTTTCAGCCATTTACGACGATGTAATGAAAAATAATTATTAACCGATATTTATCTGTTTTAAGTGGACAATATATAATGACAATTAAAATTTCGAAAATAGTTTGTTTTCATAGTGAACAGAAAATCACCTTTAGTTTTTTAAATCAAACCATACAATTTTTGTTTTTTCGTTATATGAAAAAACTTCGATGTTGATGAAATTATGATAACGTTCGACGTTCAGAGATACAAATTTCGTCCATTTACAATAGTTTCTGTCTCTAATAGTTTTTGCGAAATTACCCTTGTGCATACTGTTACTTTCATTTTGCCAACCACTCGCCACTGTCTGAGCCAAATGTTACGAAGGAATAGATGAATTAAATCTAAGAATAAATAAGCTATGAATTCAGCTAACAAAGGAACACCGATACTGAAGAAATTTTGGTGTATGATATTTCTGAAAAAAATATTTGACAAGTATTTTCCTTTTATGGGAAAACCATCCACGTTGAAAGGGTGAAAATTGCCTTGAAATATGAGAGTAAAAATATGATTGATCTAATATCTCGGAAGCTATTAGAAATAGAGGAATAGCGTAAATTGATGAATCTTTGAAAAATTTGTAAAACACAAAATTTATAACTTTCTATTTTTTTTCATTTTTTATTTTTCAGATTTATCGTTGAAAAATACAAAACTTATAACTTTCTATTTTTTCCATTTTCATTTTTCAGATTTATCGTTGAAAAATACAAAACTCATAATTTTCTATTTTTTCCATTTTTATTTTTCAGATTTATCGTTGAAAAATACAAAATTCGTCAATTTACACTGTTCCTTTAATCTCTAACAGTTTTCGAGGTAATAGACTAAATATATTTACTACACCCAACTTGGAGAGCGATTTTCAGCCCCTCAATGTGGACTGTCGCCGATAAAAAGAAACACGTGTCGAATATTTTTCTGAGATCCACCACATACCAAAATTTCATCGAAATCGGTGATTATTACTTCGGAATATTCCCTTGTTGGACTTTCTACATTTTAGAACCTTAGAAATCCTTCTCCCTTAGACTCACAACATTACGTACTTATTTAATAATTAGTTGAACCTTTTTTTATTCTTGATTATCGTATGACAACTTTCGACCAATTTTTCAAACAAACAATTGTTTACCATCGTAGAATCAAGGATAAATCGTTTTTAAAGTCAGAACCATGATCACAATTTTCCATCCACGATTAATAGGTTTGTTTTCTCCTGATTTTTGTTCGTACATAGCCGTACAAAATGAAAGGGATCGGATAAGTTGTAGAAGGCCAAGCTACGAGGAACAAAGCAGCAACGGAAGTGGACTCTCTGTTGTTTCCCTTCTGCAGGCGGAAATGCTCAGCAGACAAGTTGGTGCGGCTCTCGAGGTCAGTTTATTTGAATGATACTTAATGTGTTAAACCTAGGAAATTCAAAAAATCTGCACAAAGTTTCAAACTTTTTTTTTTCCATAAAATGACTTGAGTGCTTTTATGCCATAAAGTAATTTTAATTAATTAAAAATTGTGTTTATTCGTTGAACCTTCAAATAGTTTGGACTTCCTATGGTTAATGTCAGTTGAACTGTTATATAAATTTTGTTAATTTTGATCTGGTAAAATTGATTCTCTGCTAAACAAATAATGTGAACGTTGAATTAAGTTGAATTTGAATGGTTAGTTTGAGATTCTTGAAGATTATTCTGGTGCACAGAGCTCTGAGTGAAGTTTATTTCAATTTGGTACAATAAATGAAAATTTATCTCATATATCTTTCTTTTTTGTTTCTATTAATTATGATGCTCTTTGGTCTCAATAAAAGTCAAGATATGACAAATTCAGAATTTGGTATACTCAAACAGAAGATTTGGAATAATGCTTTTCAAAGATTTCTGACTGTGAACTATTTGTATGAAAATGTTCTTACCGTTTCCACCATAATCCACTAAATATATATTTTACACTGAAGAAAGAAGGAGAGAGAGCTTTGTACTTTTTACTTTACACAGTGTAAAAATTAGAAAACGTATTAACAACAATAAGTCACAAGTCGCCAACAATCGGAGAATTGAAATTTTTCAAACAAGGGAAGCAAAAAATTAAATTTTTACCAATTTAAAAAGGATCGAATGAAAAGATGGAAAAATCAGGAATAAATATTGAAAACGCGGCGGTAAAATAGAAGAAATAGGGAACTGTTTCCCTGTAAATAAAATCGATACTTGCTCGATGCAGACGTCGCGAACACACGAATTCAAGGTTTGCCTCTTTGTTTCTTGGTTTTAATCAAACGAATTTAATGTCGATGCCTTAATGATTATGGGAAGAGGGAGAATTAATGAGGCCCGTGAGAATAATACGGGTCCCCTTAATGCAAATACGAAGACGGACAGGCATCCGGTCATTTTATTTTTTTTTCTCAACAACGAATCGTCATTTTCACAGCCTTAAATAAAGTCGAAATTATTCAAATTCCGTAGCTGATCGGTATACAGCTGAACCATTGTTGTGGTTCATAATTTAAGCAATGGAAATCGACAGGAAACTCGTAAAGATTCCTAAATGTATCGCTTCAGGAGCTTTGGACTTGAATTTAGAAAAAGTATATATTTCAAAGTTAATTTTAAATACAACAATGCATGTTGATTCGAAATGAA